TGGCTACAGCTGGCACCTAAACACAAAATTTAAAAGAACAAGAGCTTTTACAAGTTTTTGTGACTTCAGTGGCTCAAGAGAGAGAGAGAGCAGGTCATCCACTGTCAGGTCGGTGGTTCGATCCATGGCTAACTGCCCTTGCCCGAGATATTGGACCCCAACTCATTTCCAGTGCATCCATCAACGTTTGATAGCTGCATTGCAATGTAACTGTCAATCCATGACGTGCCTTCAGTGTGTGTGTCTGTGTGCGTGTGTGTCAAAGGGGCAATGGATGAGCAACTGAAGTCCAGAATACCCCAGATATGCTATGGTCGTTTTTTGTTGTTGACTTGAACTGCGTTGTTCGTACAACTTTTGATGAAGTCAACCAGTTTCCACTTATAAATACTCCTATAAATTATCTATTATTACTTTATTCCATATCTAAGATGCAGTAACATGATTTTAAGCCAAAAAATGTTAAAGACAATATTGGCAATATCAGTATCAACTCGCCAAAAATAATAACCAGCAAAGTAAACACTGGCTAGTTAAACTGGTCACTCTTGGTTTTGCTGGTTTTGCAATCTGTTTAGCACTTACTGCATAGAGGTTTCTCCTGTTACGTTGTGCTTGTATTACATTAGAACCATTTGTCATATTGGACCTAATAAGGTTCTAAGAATACACATTTTTTCCAGAGGTTGCCCGATAGTCGTAAACTGCTTTCTAGGCTTGTGTAACTGAGGCATTCACTACAGTGAACTGCCTACATTGTTATTGTGATTATCACACGTCCAAAATGGTCAACTTCACGTGGTTAGTGCTCACATGTTTGCAAAGTCTCAGTGTTGACCACATTGAAGTTGCGAAATATGATCTCATAATTATTATGAATTTCTTTCTTTCTTCTCTGATGTGGGTTTCCCACTTTTTGGGGCAACTGTGATTTATTTATGCAACACTTCTTTTTTTAGTGTACGTCTTATCTCAGGGACTCTGTCTTAATATATGTTGTTGTGCCAGTGCTATGCGCCTGTTTTGACTATGATTTGTTCATGTCCAAAATGTAAACATCCCTTAATATTGCTGCACTCCCACAGTTACTGGAGTGAACTCAAGCCAAAATAGAGAGTCACTGCCAAGACCTTCTCTTATCTTGCTTCACTCCCACTCACTAATTGCGGATTAATTCGATTAATTCTGATCTGTCTTTCCATTTTCCAGACCAGCGTGCCTTCTACCTAATAAATTCATTGACGATGCAAAATGGCAGTATCCATTCATCCAGTAAACTTATTTTTAAGGGTTTTCTTTTTCTTTAGCAGCTCATTTGCCTTCAAAATTCTTTTTGTTCTTGTGTTGTGAATTTGATCTAAAATTCAAGTAATATTCAATTTGAGTCTTAAAATATTCACTAATAAGAGTTACAGTATGCATTAGGAAAACTTACCCCAATTACAGAGCAAAATACAATTTGAATAAAAGTGCTGCAAGGACATATTTCATTAAATTTTAAACACTCAATATAAAAGCAATTGAGATTTTTTCTGATTAAAGTCAAGTTACAGAATTGCAGATGCTTGGAAAAGTCCATATTGCATATCAAACACTGAAGGCATGCCTTATTAATGTTCTTGTTAAAAGGACAGTGACACTAAAAATGTATTTCATAATGCATGTTTGGTCTTTAGAAGCATTGCAATATGCCATTACACAACATAACTGTGCATTGTCACGAGCACTCATTATTTTTAATATGCTAGTGCCTAAACATCTAAACTATTTTATCACCAACTGAAAAAGAAAAAGTCTGAGCTTTTGTTGCCCTCTGCATTGTTTCGGTGAGGGAGCAAAGGTGGAACGTACTGAGATGTTAAGCAGTGATTGACAAAATGCGATACACAGGGATCAGTAATTGGCTATATCATGAAACAGTCGTGATTCAAAAAGTGTATTTAAAGAGATTACGGACAATTTACATCAACACACAAACATATCGTGTCTATGAACAGGTTAGAGGTGTTAATAAACCTGGCTTATTAACTGGCTAACTTCCAAGTACAATCCATCTATCCATTTTCTTGCACTTCTTCAATTCAGGGTTACAGCGGGTGGATGCCCATCCCAGCTGTCATAAGCAGATGCATCCTGGACAGGTCACTTTCTGGACTAACACAGAAAGACACACAACCAGTTTAAAATGACCAATGAATGTCTTTGGAATTGGGGAAGAAGCCGACATAGAAAGACCCCAGACTGGATTTAAACCCAGGATCTTCTTGCTGCAAGGTGGCCAGTGCTAATCATCACACCACTATGCAAGCATGAAAACAAATTAGCATCAGTCAAGTCACACTAATCCCAACCCAACTAAATCCTCCCACATTTATATGAAAGGAAGAATGTTATCACTTATATAAATATAATTTCAGATTACTCCCAACACAGGTTGTTGCTTAAATAGACCCTTGTATATTGCCTTTTAACAAACCTTGCACATCAGAGAAAGCAAGTGTTCCTGATTAATGTTCCTGCAGTTCAGTCTGTTTATTTCCTACTTTTTGTGAACTGACTCTGTTGAGGTGCATAGTTTGTTTATGCACTCGGCCGACGCTGGATGGGTCCTCTTAATTTCCCTGCTTGCTCATTGTAGACCTGTACATTCGGTCTATGCTAGTTTCCAGCCACTTGTGCCTTACAGCACGGTGCCTCACATTACTTTCCAGCTTTCACTGGCTGTAGGTGACAAGGAAGAAGCTTTCCAGTCACATTTCAAAGAACGAAAATAACAAATCTGTCCAGGGAAGTGAATGTGAGTATATGTTTCTTATACGGGAAACGTACGCCACAAACATAAAACTACTAATGCAGGGTGTTGAGGGGGAGCAGAATGATTGGTAAGAGTCAGGGTCTTTCATTTTGTCATGTTTCTTTTTTCCCCATTTCTGGGCTGATTTTTCACTGCAGGGCTAGTTCCATTCACTTGAATTTATTATTTCTTGCACTGAGGAAGCTGATGAAGTCCAATGTCTGTAAGCGAGTTTGTGCGTGCCTCCGCGCACATTAACACTTGTGCCGGGTGTATGTGTGCGAGGAGATGAGACACGCGTCTCTTTATGTGTAAGGGAGCCACGCTTTCATGGCTGTTTCAGATCTCCCTGCCTTAGAGTTCGACAGAGCGACGGAGCCAGAAGCGAGAGGGAGAGATGGAGAGATAATAGGAATGGAGGGTGAAAGAAGGCTAACACAGTCTTTAATGAGTTTCCTTGGCTCTCTTTGCCTGTTTCTGGGTCAGGGTCCCCTGGCTGAGGATGTGGGTGGACTGAAGACGATAGAGCAGAAAAGAACAGTGTAAGCCGAGGTCTGCTTAAATAGACTTGTACATTATAGAGTCATCACCTACAGTACATAAAGATGCATGGGAGGAAAGGCCACACAATATTTAGGTTATTTCTTGAATTGACAGCGAATGATGGAAGTTAATCAAAACAACTTGTTGTGGCTCTTTATTGCACGTACACAAACACAAACCCCAAAGGTCAAAGGTCACTTATAGTTTATATTCAACTAGCAGCAGCTTAGAAGTCCATAAAAATACACCCAAGCTTACTCTTTTTTGATGAAATGCAATCACACACCTACAAAACAGGATGTGCAAATGGTAAATGGACAGGTTCTTATAAGACCTCACCTGCATCATAACAGGACAGAGACAGACCCCTCCTCCGCCTTGCTGAAGGTGGCTTTGGCCATTTTCTGGTTGACTCCTCCTGCCCTTTCATTTCCTAGCAATCAGCTTCAATCTGTGGCAGGTATGGAGGGAGAGATAACATTAGGGAGACATCATGGGGAGATATCTGCTCAGCCAAGACATTATTTAGTGCTCTCAAAGCATCCAAGAGGCAACCTCTGTCAGACAACAAGGCTCCAGCATGTCCACACAGGACAGAGAAATAGGTAGATAGAAGGACATGGAAGAATTACTGATGGGCTGATAAAGTATTTTGTTATCTGAACAGTCTGCCTTCCTGTTTCTGTCCTCCTGTGCTATGTTACTGTCTGTCTGCTGCAACTCTCTTTCAATGACTCAATCCATGTCTGTCTGGCTGAGTTACTTTGAGTGTCTCCCAGTGTTCCTCCCTCTCTCACCTTATGTTTCCCACTGTAGCTCTGTCTCTATTACTTTGCCTTCTTTCTTTCGCGCTTGTGAATAATTAATGTCTACCGGTTCGATGGTAATAATAGAACAGATCTGGAGGTGACAAATGGGATGGCCAATAGGCTTCATCCTTCCTTCTTCAAAGAGTTACAAAGTTAGCCGGGCTCATTTGGTGGGCGTGTACACCCATATATTTGTGCCACTTTTTTTTTTCTTCCCTCCATGTTTGTGTGTGCATGCACATGCAGTTGTGTGTATGTGATTTAAGACAGGGAGATGAAAGGGACTTGTAATTACAGGGAAGCATATCTGTCTACTGCAGAAGTATCCGAGGAATGGCATAAAATGGGCCAGAAGCCTGAGGTCATTAGATGTGGAGCATGTGTGCGTGCTCGCATGCCCGTGTGCGAGAAAGTGACAAAAGCAAAGAGCGTGCGCGCGCGCGAGAAAATGGGAGACACGGATAGATCAGCTTATAATTTCAGTTCCTCGGAGTCGACCTCTGAACTCTGCTTCTCATTATTGGCTCTGCCGTGCTCGCTTCTCAGCAGTAGCTGATTGTGGTTAGACCGAGGAGGCAGTCTTATTGCCGGAGAGGAATCACAGAATTTCCTGCGCTCTAAAATACACTTGTGTAAACATTCCAAAATATCAAATGATAGGGATTTCACTGTGTGCTGTGCACATGGATAATCCCATGCAAAGGCTGTGGTTATAATACTGTCCCACTGTCTCTTGTCTGCTTTCCGCTCTTGCATCCCGTCCTCCCACTTTCTGTCTTGGGAGTTTGGCTTCTGTTCTCCACTTCGTCCTCTCTTTCCTTCTAACCATTCTTCCTTTGTTTCTCTCTTCACAGTTGAGGATGACTTCATTGGTCTCGGTGAGCTGCCAGAAACGTTCCCCTCAGACCCCCCAGAGCCGCTGCCCGTGTTTTTAATGGAACCAGAGGAGGCCTACATAGTCAAGAACAAGCCTGTTAACCTGTACTGCAAGGCCACACCTGCCACCCAAATCTACTTCAAGTGCAACAGCGAGTGGGTTCACCAGAAGGAGCACACTGTGGAGGAGAGGGTTGACGAGAACTCTGGTCAGTAGAAAGATCGGCTACGTGCTGACTAGCAACTCTGTTTTAGAAGACATCTTGCTGCACAGACCATTAATCAAAATTGTTTTCTTCACAGAAATGCATCCTGACAGCTATAACATGATTTGGTTTTATATTATCGTTTAAGAAAATTAAAGCACTTGGTTAAGGTTCGCAGAAGGTTGTTGTTCTGATAAAAAGTTGAAAACATAACCTTGAATTACAATATAATGTTTTCATATTTTCCCAAAAGCAAGTGTATGAGTATGAGTTCTGACGAAAGTGTCTTTACAAACATACGCACAATGTGAATCTCTGCTTATAAATCTTATTGTCCAGCATATTTAACTGCTGACCTTGCCACTCAGACTGTAGGTCAGGTATCTTTCATTTGGCACCATCATTTCCATCACAATCATGCGTTTATGCATTTGAGCGTGTATATTTTGTTTCGGTGCCTGCTCAATAATCCAGATAAGGAAATTCCAGAAAGTTTTTCAAACAGTGTTTGTGGAGTGGAGAAAGAGTTTGCCGCTCATTCAAGTGACCTCTTCAGTTTTTGCAGGTTTCCTCAACTTCATAAACAACAGAGATGCAATAATGACCGAAGCGAGCGCCATTGCCTAACAAAGAGCCACATGCTCAGTTTCATGATTGTTAATATGCAAATTGTTTTGGCCACTGATCATTCACAGAGAGTTGGGGAATGGCTGCACAGCACTGTAACATGGGGAAAGATGTATTTGTACGCCCCCTCGTCAGTTCAAGATGGTTGTTCCCTTTTCAACTGGGATAACTGCTGCTTAAACGATCACCACTGGAGATCACCATTAATGATCCTTTATGTGTCAGGAGTTTGAGCAACAGCTGAGATGCATTTTTTTCTCAAAAACACAATGTTTTTCTGGCTTTCAAACCTGAAAACACCCTACAGTACACCAAAAATTGTTCTGCCCTGAGGATCGGGTCCTCTGGCACAAGAGCAAAACAGTGTATGCGATTAAGTGCTGAGAAGATTGCCATAATATGGGGATACCAAGCAACCTTTGGCACAACACAGAAGAGCTGCCTTGTTGGGCCTGAACCCCTACAGACCAGATGTCACTCCTTTAGCGATGATGTTGTCACATCCTTGTCGGGGGAGAAAAGGTGGTTTGAGCAGGAAAGTCAAGGAAGCCGCGTATGTGAAAAGAGAACGGCCATCTCTGAACTAAGAAGAGGGTACATCTTTCAGTGCTGTGATTGCAGTCATTTCCCAATTTTCTGTGAATAGTACTCCTGACTGTGGATCAGTGTTCTTGTCAATTTACATTTTAAACTGAGCTTGTGCCTCGTTGTTAGTCAGTGGTTCCAGTTTCCGTCATTATGCAGCTGAGACTGAAGAGTTCATTTGGGTGAGTGATGAAACGTTTCTTCCACTGAAAACGCTGCGCATAGATGAACAGAATCAACTTTTTGGGATATGTCTGTTTACGTACCTGTTTTGTTGAGCATCAAGAGGAAGTGATGGTAGTGAAGCTCCGGTACGGTTGTTTTTAAGAATTCAGTCCCCAAAGGCACCAGAGCCATTACACACAACAGCCCAGCACTGATTGGCTGCATTCAGCTGCTGTATTGGAAATTGAGTTCGTTCTGTCACCCACAGGTACCAATCACATCGCATTTACCCTTTTCATTCCACTGTTTTGACAGACACAC